CAGGAGAAAGCTGGAGAGCATGGAACTTCTTAATTCTTATCAGTTTGCAAATTCCATGTAGTCCAAATATGCATTGGGAGGTGGTGAACTTTTCAGCTCAGCCAATAACCTCCCAGTATTGCTGCCGCTGCTTTAGATGTACAGGCAGGGTGTTTCTGTCCAACTCAATGCCTTCAGTTTGGACTTTTTGGGTTTTATAACTACAAAAAGCTGCAACATTAATCTTAATTAAAGGGAGATGATGATTTATTCGGCAGGGCTGACTGGTGCGCTTGTATGCGCAATGCCTTTCCCAGTGGGTTTTGGTCTAAACCATAGGCTCAGAAAGAGCTGCTGTAGTAAAACTGCAGGAAAATGAGTAACGTGTATTGATTTGATACCTGGGGAGGAATTGGGCAAAGTAGCAGTGGTTATATGCAACGTGACGTGCCTTTCCCTCCAAGCACCTGCTGTTGCACCAGCGCAGCGAGTTTTCTGTTAGTGGCAACACCGACAAAGCAGTAGTTAAAGCTGTCACTGTTTCCAGAATCCAATTTTTCAAGAGGTTTATAGCTCTGCCATTATAACAAGGAAAAGGAAAAAAAAAAAAAAAAAAAAAAAAAAGAGAGAAAATTCACTGAAATTGGCTAAACAGCCTTTCCATCTGGAAAAGACATGAAATACACGTGCTTCCAAGCTATTGGTAAAACTGTACAGATGCTTTAAACAAAGTTTGTAATACCATTCGGTGTTACGTTGAAAGTGGCCTTTGTGGCTTTTTTAGTCCAATTCTTTCTTTTTGGCAGTGAGTTTATAGACTAGAATATCCCTATTTGAGTCCCGTTTTCTAAATGAAGAAAGCTTCTAAAAGAAGTAGCCTGTAGTTTCAGTTTTTTCTGCTGTGTTCAGCCTTAGCTTCAGTGAAGCTTAGGTTTAGCCTTGTATAACTCGAGACCTAAGTAAAACTTTAAGATACTTGGATAGTTAAAAAAATATAGGTGATGGAAAAAGTTAAAAAAAAAAATACTTAGCATTAGAGAGATCTGCTCATAAGTCAACGTTAGATTAATCCTTCCTGTACAGCCTCTGATTGCAGTGAGTTTTGAGCAGGAATTTGCGTGTCTGTGTCACCCCACTTAGCACAACTATATTTGTCTACTTTGATTGGCAACACCATGTATTTATCTCAGAAGATACACAAGTGATTCACATGCATCAGCCTGAAGTAGGAAGGCTGAGCTCTGGGCATCTGGATTTAGAAGAGTGTGAGCCTGTCGGTCGAATTAAAGCATCAAGGACATTTATGCGGAAGGTAGGGGCTGACTTGCAAATGTGCTTTTTCCCTTCTTACAGTTAGACCATCTGGTCAGCAGGGCTCGGTGGTGGGAATCCTGCCTGCAGTGGGATAACGTGTTCACTCTAAGCCTGTGCAGCCTGTCGTGCTGTTATATTTTATGTTAAAGGTGTATCTTCTAGTAACTTGAAATTCCCAAACATGTCCTGAGGTTGTTTTGAGGATGACCCCCATTTCAGCTCAGCCTCTCCCCTGTGCATCCCAAAACTCCTCCTCCCCTTTCCGCATGTAAAAACTTCTAGCACTTATAAAATATGTTTTGTAGGTGCAGGTTTTGTTTCCATGCCTCGGTGACGTGGTGTTTGCAAATAGCTGAATTTGTAATGAAGTGTAGCGCCTGGGGCTGCGTGTTCTGACTTTGATGGGCTTAGTCCCTTGTTTTGAATGCTGCAGTCTCTAACACACGGGATGCAAGAACAGCCTCTTACTACTTTGCATCTACCCTGGACACGATTTTCCAGCCCAGTTGGAATGAGACATGATCAAAATTAGTTCTATAATTAAGAAAACATTGAACCTCTTGTGTGTGTTAGGCAAATGAGCTAAAGCTTTTAGCCAAGCAATTAAGTGTTAAGGTTTTACTGTAAGGTGAATGTAAACTAGATAATTTCTCCAGCTAAGCTTCCCATAATCATTCCATTAGTATGAATTCAGTACAGTGCAGAAGGGAGGCAGCATAGCATGATGGATAAGATTATTATTATTATTGAAGATTATTGCAGTACAAATGAGCAGTGAAGGCCCCAGCTGAGGTTATGGTCGTATTTCAATAGAGGAGTTTTACTTTGTGGTAGGATAAAAGACAGACTTTGCTCTGGAGCGGTCGTGATTTAAATAGACCAAAAGATGCAACCAAAAAGTAAAAAAAAGGTCTTTGCGTAGATTAAATGCCATGCCTTCCATATGGCCACTGGAAGCCAAATTCGACCTTGGGGCAAAGGCACTGGAGTGTATGTGCAAGGCATGGTGTGGCCAGCGGGAACCATGCGCCCTGCTCCAGTTTGGATGAGTGGGAGAGGGTTGTGGTTAGGGCCCTAACACAGGTGCCGGATTACATGCAAATTCTGTTTCCATCTCCTTCATCTGCTCTGTGTTGGCGTGGGTTAGTTATTTTAACTTCATGGCTCTCGTTGTCTTCTGTGGGATATGTGGGATATCAAAGTACTCAATTGAGTTTGCAGCGTATTCTGAGATCTAGGGACAAGAGTGCTCTCGAAGTGGCAATTTGCTGCTCCTCTTGTTACAGTATATTAAATTTACATAAGAATGTTTGTCTGATTATCTGACTAGGGAACAAACTTTGAAGGGGATGGCTTCTTAACTAAAACCATATTTCTTGATGCTGTGTTTATCTCATCTTTCCACTTAAGGATGCTTGCTGGGAGTGGTATTGGTCCAGTTTCAGTAAGTCATGTGTATGGCTGTCTTTTTTTTTTTTTTTTTCCCCCCCCTTTTTGCTGATATGCAATATGATAGTTTACGTAAGGCACTGTGTCTCAAGATTATGGAAAAAGGTCAAGACAATTTCAAAAGCAGTTTGTATTTTGTTTCTCAGCATGGAAGCTGTTACTAACATTTCTGGCTTTGTGTTTCTGTAGGCATTCTTGCCAGTGTTTGTGTACGCATTGAAGGTGTCTCCACTCATAGAAAAAATAAGTGATCACAAGGATTTTAAGAAGCTTCTCAGGACACGGAATAATGTACTAGTGCTGTATTCCAAATCTGGTAAGTCCTCTTTTTTTTTTTTTTTTTTTTGATGTCACAGCTCTTTGTGCCCAGCAAGTTGTGTGCCTTTGCATGTCTGTGTGCACGTCCGGTTGCCTGTGTACCTGCTCAGATGACTTTGCTCTTTGCCCTTACTTGCACTCTGTTCAGTGCTGCCTTATGTGACTGCAAGGTGCTTCTACATGACTACAAGGGTTTCTTCGGGACCCGTGTCCTTGTTCTAACTCAGAGGCTCCTGGTGTTTCAAGATTGGAGTCTTCTTAATTTGGTCTTCTACTTGCTCTGTCACATAGGCAAAAATGTACTTTATTCTGGCTTTGTCTCCAAAACTGGCTGCTCATAATAGCTATCAGCCAGAGGTTTCTGGTGTGTTTATTGCAGTAGTTTGTGAGTTTCGATTTCCTGGTGACACTGAAAGGCTTAATGAATAGTTATAGTACTGAAATCAATCCATCTTTGCTTCTGACAGCTTTGGGTGTCCCATGGTTGTCTTTCAGCTTTAATTAACAAAATACAAAAAATCAGCTGCTTGTGTAAGAGGGAGAAATGGCTCATTTCGTGTCATGCCACCTGTCCCCTTGAATCTCTTTGCCGTCTTCTCTCTCATTCAGGCTCTCTTTTCTGGCTGTTCACTCTTGCTTTTACCTGTCTGTTTGCTCTTCCTTTCACTCTGTTCTGCTCTTGCTTTTCTCCTTTGTCACCTTGTTTGGTTTGGTGTGTTGTTTTGTGTGACACCGTGTAAATTGAAGAAACAAACCTTTAAGCTCTATATGCAAGTGCAGAATGCTGTTGTGGATGTGGAAGTCATTGGACAGCAAGAAGTAGAATGTGTCACTAAGATGATTCTCCTTAGTGCTGTATTTTTTTTTTTGTTGTTGTTGTTTCCTTTTCCTTCCTGCAGGCAAGCAATATAAGGTAATGCTTTGTTTTGGGGTTGCGTCCTCCCTTTCTGACCTGTTGCAAAGGTCTTATCTCAGTTAAATGCAATGATGTTGGTAGAGGTGCTCTGGGTTTATAGTGAGGCAAATTGGAGCAGTATGTGGTGACCCAATATCCTCCCCCGCCCCGATATCAGGGAATTTTGCAGACGAAAATGTGCAGGTGCTAGGATAAATAACTTTGTTTCCTAAATATATGCTAATTCTGAAACAGGTAAAATTATATATGTGACTTAATTTTTGTTAAAATATTTGTGTTTTGCTATAGTGGGGAACTTCTAGCACTCGAATTTGGCCAAATGGTTTTGTAGTAACAGGTTCAAAGTGAAAGTCATAAAAGAGTTTCTAACGCTTTTTGATTTTGAAAGGAACACTTTAGATAAAAAAGACATCTGTATTATTCAGCTTTTTAAAGGGAAAATTTTCTTTTTATGCTTAATATTTTAAGTGGTGGTTGCTTTCATTTTTAGAAGCACAACCAGAACACTTCAGCTCTGACACTCATCAAATAAATGTTGCCCTATGGGCATTGTTCAAAAGCTGTGTTGTGGAGATTTCTTTTTACTGTTTTTGTTATTTAATTGGTTGGTTTTAGCAGTCTAAAGCATTTCATGCAGAGCTGACTGTAGGATTAATGTTTCTTCCTGGAACAGTGACCCTTGCACAATTAGAAATCTCTTGCCTAACTGTCATCCAGAAAGAGGGGAGTGGGGTGGGAAAAAAGAGAGAGGAATTTGGAGGTGCAATTCTAATCCCAGATATACTTCCCCCAGCTGTGATGAGATGTTGGCCAGCCAACTGTACTGCTGGAACAAAGGCTTTGCTTCTCAGCTGAGCAAAAATAGATGAGTATTTCTATCTCATGCAGAAAATTTTTTGGTTTCCGGAGGTGTCCTCATTTACAGGAGATGTTTAGTTCACCCTACCGGCTGGGTATCCTGCCAGGGTTGCTCAGCTAGTGAGTCTTCTGGGACAAGTCTGTCCTACCCTCAATGCTTATTTTTTAAAGGGTGTTTGTCAAACTGTTGCAGTCTAAGTACATGGAAGAATTCCCCCATGTGTCTACATCCCTGTGTTGGAGAGAGTTGGCAGTTGCATGCTATGGGTACTGGGGGTAGGAGAGCTTCTTGAGAGCTAGCGTGTGTGGGCTGGTGTCTCCGATGGCATCGGGCCCAAGCAAAGGCTGTCGAATACAAAGAAGCTGTTTCTGGCTCAGGAGATTGCCGGGATAAAAAATTGCGGAGGCTTAGAGATTATTTGAGGGGGCTATCACTACCCGCTGGCTCTACTTGTCTGCTCTGACCTATATAGGCCTTCACTTTCTCAAATCTTGGAGACCAGATACTGGTCTATAGAGGCATTCGGTCTGACCCAATATAGCCATCCTTATATTCAATTAGTTGCAATAGTTGTGGAGCAGCAGCGGTTTAAATAGATCTGAAAGAGGCTCTGGGTTTCTATTTCATGTTTATAGAGGCAGGAACCAGTTTCTGCTAGATTTTGGGGGGAATTGGTACTTGTTTGAACCTCTATATTTTTGTCTCCCAAGCTCTTGTCCCATTTTTCTTCTGTGTTTATTTTTCATACCATTTATAAGACTGTTTTGGAATAGAAGTGTTTTGCAAAATCTGCACGTGCACCCCCCATAATCCAGGAGGAAGCAGTCTTTGACCTGCTATGCCACCTGGACATCCACAAGTCTATGGGGCCGGATGGGATCCACCCAAGAGTGCTGAAGGAGCTGGCAGAGGAGCT